AATAAGATTGATCTTATTAAAAATAAGATCATAAGCACTCCTCTATCCGCGATTGTACCTGAGGTAGTCATGGAATCTGAACCGGGTTTAGACTGCTTTGATCCAGTTGAACTTTCTGAATTAGCAAAATTATTGTCTTCATCTAAGCCTTCAACTTGTATGTTAGATCCAGTTCCAACCAGGTTATTTAAGGAGGTATTCCCTTTGATCTCCTCCTCCATTTTAGATGTGATTAATCTATCTCTGTTACAGGGATATGTACCAAAGGCTTTTAGGGTTGCTGGAATTAAACCTCTGCTTAAGAAACCGTCTCTTGACCCAGATGACTTGGTCAATTATAGACCTATATCCAATCTTCCTTTCTTACCCATAATTCTTGAGAAAGTAGTTGCCAAACAAGTTGGCGATCACTTCCACCATAATGAACTTTTTGAAGAGTTTCAGTCTGGCTTTAGAGCTCATCATAGCACTGAAACAGCTCTGGTGAAAGTCACTAATGATATTCTCATGGCCTCAGATAATGGACTTGTATCTGTGCTCGTCCTGTTGGATCTCAGTGCTGCATTTGATACAGTTGACCATAATATTCTTTTAGAAAGACTTGAATATTTTGTTGGAATTAAAGGAACAGCACTAGACTGGTTTAAATCTGATCTATCTGATCGAATTCAGTTTGTTCATGTTAATGTCAAATCGTCCTCACACTCAAAGGTTACCTGTGGAGTACCACAGCGATCAGTGCTAGGACCGATTCTCTTTACTTTATACATGCTCCCAATTGGTAGAATTATTAGACAGCATGGGATTAATTTTCACTGTTATGCTGATGATACCCAGCTATATCTGTCTATAAATCCAGATGAAGCTAACCCATTACATAGATTACAGGCATGTCTGAAGACATAAAAACCTGGATGACTCTTAACTTTCTGCTTCTGAATGCAGACAAAACAGAAGTTATAGTCTTTGGACCAGAGTCTCTGAAAAATAAGCTGATTAGTCAGTCACTTCATTCGGATGGGATTAAACTGATTTCAGATAATAAAGTAAAAAATCTTGGTGTTGTTTTTGATCAGGACCTGTCATTTAAATCCCATATTGTCTGTATTAACCTGTGCTCCCCTAATTTCATGCTCCACGTACAGAACAGGATCCATGTAATTTCTACCTTTTCTGAATCCACTTTGAAATTTGGATAAATATTTTATCTTTTCTCCTTGGGTTTGATCTTTCTTCACCTGACTTTAAAATAGGAATAATAATTGTTTTCTTCCAAGCTTTAGGTAAATGACACTCTTCCCAAATCTTGTTTTAAAAATCCAATAAAACACTTAGAAGAATTACTTAACTGATTTATCATAATCTATGAAATTTGATCTTTACCTGGAGGTTCAATTCAATTCAATTCAGTTTATTTATATAGCGCCAAATTCACAACACATTTCATCTCAAGGCACTTTACAGTTCAACCAGATCATACAGTCAAATTGATACAAAGTTTTCTATGTAAGGAAAACCAGTTGATTGCATTGACTCATTGACTGAAATACAATCCCTCACACTAAGCATGCTTGTAGCGACAGTGGAGAGGAAAAACTCCCTTTTAACAGGAAGAAACCTCCAGCAGAACCAGGCTCAGTGTGAGCAGCCATCTGCTGAGGCCGACTGGGGTTCAAGGAAACAGAAGCAGAGATAGAAAAAGAAGCACAGATACAAAAGGCAACTGTCAACCAGCTCCACAGGCGGCCCCGTCCAGGAAAAACACAGCCAGGCAGATGAGCTCCAAGGCAGCTCCCATGCCAGAGGACGAAGAGAGCACATCCACTCAGTCACGGTCAGAGAAACAGGACCACACTGGAAAACAGGCCGATCTCCAACATCTATAAACAAGGGTGTTGATGGCAGCAGCACAGCTGATGTTTCTTTCCAGGATGACGTCACAGCCAAACAGGAACAGATGAGGCAAAGCTACTCTGAGGAAAAGCAGAGAGAGCAGAAGGTTAGAGATCTAACAGATTCTGCAGAGTAGGAGAATAGAGAGAGAATGAAGCAGAATGATGAAATGAGGGTCCCTATGTCCTCCAAAAGTCTAAGCCTATAGCAGCATAACTATAGAGATAGCTCAGGATAACCTGAGCCACTCTAACTATAAGCTTTATCAAAAAGGAAAGTTTTAAGCCTAGCCTTAAAAGTAGACAGGGTGTCTGCCTCACGGACTAAAACTGGTAGTTGGTTCCACAGGAGAGGAGCCTGATGACTAAAAGATCTGCCTCCCATTCTACTTTTAGAAATTCTAGGAACCACTAGTAAACCTGCAGATTGAGAGCGAAGTGCTCTGTTAGGAACATAAGGAACAATCAGATCTCTGATATCAGATGGAGCTTGGCCATTTAAGGCTTTATATGTGAGAAGGAGGATTTTAAATTCTATTCTGGATTTAACAGGAAGCCAATGAAGAGAAGCCAGGATAGGAGAGATATGATCTCTATTTTTCATTTTCATCAGAACTCTGGCTGCAGCATTTTGGATCAACTGAAGGCTTTTAACTACAGTTTGTGGACTTCCTGATAGTAAAGAATTACAATAGTCCAGCCTTGAAGTAACAAATGCATGGACTAGTTTCTCAGCATCACCCCTGGACAGGAGATTTCTAATTTTTGCAATATTCCTCCTCAGATGAAAGAAGGAAATTCTAGAAACCTCTTTTTTCTTTGACATCGAGAAAGGTTACGATATAAGGTGGAAGGAAGGATTTTTTTAATAAAACTAAGATGGGAATCGCCGGTTCAATGTTCAAGTAAGAAAAGGAAAACAATTTTCCGGAAATATTTATCCTGAAAATGGTATTCCCCAAGGAAGCATAGTTAGTCCATTATGTTTTTCTTTAATGATTAATGATATGTTTGAAGATGTTGAGAATGAAATGGGAGTTTCTTTATTTGCTGATGATGAAGCAGTTTGGAAAAGAGGTAAAAAAAATGTAATTTCTTAGTTAAAAAAGGTTGAAGAAGCCATTCATAAAATAGAAGACTCGTCCTTTAGATGGGGATTCAAGATCTCTGTAGATAAAACAAAAGTTTTGTTTTTTTACTAAGAAAAAAGTTTCTGAAGATATAAAGATAAAAATGTATGACTTAGAAGGGGTAAAGCTATTTAAATTTTTGGGCATATGGTTGGATGAAAGACGTACTTGGAAAGTTCTAATTAAAAAGATGATTGATAAATGTAAAAGAGTTCTAAATGTTCTGAGATGTTTGATTGGGAATGAGTAGGGAGCTGAGCGGAAAGCATTGAAATCAGTTTATACAGGTTTAATTAGGTCCGGTTTTGATCATGGATGTAGTGCTTTTGGTTCAGCATTAGAGTCATTACTTAAATTGGATATTGTTCTGTATCAAGCATTGAGATTATGCACATAAGAACAACATCAGCATCACAGGTAGAAATGCCACTACAGTGGAGGACATTACAATTACTTTCTACTTGTTGGTTTCAGGTAAAGAATCATTGTGAAACTCATCCATGTCAATATATTTTAAAACCATGTTGGAAAAAAGGAAAGAAGAAATTATATTCCTTTGGATGGTCAGCAGATAATATTATAAAAGATCTAGAATTACCTCATATAAATGTCAGTAAAACAGTTATTAGGTCATTAATTCAGCCACCATTGTTGCCTAATATAGTTACTGATTTAACTTTGCTGTTTAAACGGAAAAACAAGGAGAATATCTCGGATTTAAATATGGTTCAGCAATATTTAGATGAGAAATATGATGGGTTTGTTAAAATTTTACGGAGCTTCAAAAGATCCAAATAATAAGAATGGTATTTCGTTTGTAGTTGCAGAATTTTATATTTAATCAAGTAAGAGAGTCAGTGACGGAGTTTGAGTCTACACAGGAGAAATGTTTGGGATCATGTTGGCTTTGGAAGGGAATGAAGAAATCCGTCCATTAAGAAGCATAGTTTTCTCTGATTCTAGTTCAGCGTTATTTTCATTTAAACACAGTCACTCAGACAGCAGACCTGATATATTAGCAGAAATTCAGCAATTATTATTTAGAATTCAAGCAATGTGATTAATAGAATAATAAAAATAATATTTTATTTGGATTCCTTCTCATATGGAATAGAAGGGAATGAGATGGCTGATAGATGTGCAAAACAAGCAAGCAAACTTATGGTAGTTTAATTGATATAATAAGTCAATTTAGTAAAGTTTAAATAAAATCAGTAATTAAGGAAAGGATTAGATCAAGATGGCAGAAACAGTGGGAAGAAGAAATAACTGGTAGATTGTTGTATAATATTAAAAGAAACTTGGCTTTATTAGAAAAACAGAAAGGAATAGAAAGGAGAAAAAGATGATATGAAGGTTATGGTTTGGCCATCCAGGTTTAAACAGCACATTGTTTAAAATAGGGAAACATGATACAGCGAAGGGTGATTTTTGTTTTCAAGCAGAAACAGTGAAGCACATTATACTGTTTGGCACTAAATATGTCAATCAGAGAAATTAATTAGTAAACAGATTGCAAGTCAATGAATTAAAGTTAAACTTAAAATACATTTTAAACTTGGATTCTAAATCTAAGGGTTTTTTATGGAAGCCCATTTCCGCCACTCTGTAAAAAAAGAAAAAAAAAAGATCTCATAATAATGAGATAGTATCTCATTATTATGAGATACTATCTCATAATAATGAGATAGTATCTCATAATAATGAGATAGTATCTCATTATTATGAGATACTATTATAATGATTTTGTCTTTTTTTTTACAAAGTGGCGGAAACGGGCTTCCATAGTTTTTCCTTATTATTGAACTTTCTTAAAAGACACATTTGTTTAGAGGATTTATTTATTATTATTTTTTTTTAGTTTACTGGATATTGAATTACTTTATTCACGATTCCCCCTCCAGTTCAGTTGGTGGCAGTAATGCACCAAAAAGTTGTTTGCAAACCACCATAAAGCACAAGAAGAAGAATAGAAGAAGAATGAAATGAAAGAAGAAGAGGAGGACACGTCACTGAGGTTAACCAGGAGAAAGAAGATGGCTAGCTCTGGCACTTTCCGCTTGTAAGTATGTGTAGTGAGTTCACTGTGTGTCCGTGGTGAGTCAGGCGGTCAGGGGGCTATTGGGGGGGCCTCACCGGGTCGGTTCCGGCTCTGCTGGCCTCACTGTGGTTAGAAATGGGGGGTTTCCTGCAAGGCTAACGGAACAGCTGACACCGGAGAAAGTTTGGTTTCTACAGGTTGTTTCTGTTTAAAGTCACCAGTGGAGCAGAAGGTTCCTGGAGCTGCTGGGTTCCTGCAGTCCAAGCAGTGGGAACCAACAGCTGCTCACTATGTTGTCTGAAACAGTTCCTGCTCCTCGCAGCTGTGGGACTGAATCCCAAACATTGTTGTTGATGTGTTGCAGGTTCACCACAGCAGAAAGCTTCTTCATAGAGCCATGTGAGGAGGCCTGCTCTGATGTCCTGCTCATTGACAGGGTTTCTACTGACATGTGTCTGACCGGTAAGCCCTGCTTCTGCTCAGCTGCTTCAGTCCTGGATGCTTTCAGCAGGAAACCTGCTGCACAGCCAGCAGCTCACTGATTCACACAACAACAGGATACATAGAATCTTTTTCACCTTTAACATCCCTTTATTTACACAATCCAAACAATAGAATCAATTGATGCAAAACAAAGTCAGTTAAAAATCATAAAAGCAAGTTTTGGCTGAAAATCATGAAATGAGGAGCTTGTTAAATCGTGGTTCTCCATCATCTGACGAAGTAAATAAAATGTTGTTAAAACTCCACAGCTGAACAAAATCCTCCATGTTCTGTGGAAGTGAAACCAGCCTTATTCTGGCTTTGAAGGGGTGATAGAATGATTATATGGGGTATTTGGTCCTTTAGGTCTCTGAATAGGGTGTGTAACATTGGTTGGGCTGAAAATGGCATATTAGCTGTTCTATGAGCCCTAATGCAGCCTGGTTAAAAGCCCTAGAATGAAACCACAGGTTTTCTTCCTTTTATTGTATGAATATTTAGATGAGCTGTGCTCTGATTGGTTGGTTTACAACGAGCCAAGCTGCTGAGCAAAGACGCATCAGAGCAACAAGCACTCACTCACTGAAACATCAGATTGTTATAATGGTAGGGTGACCAGACGTCCTCTTTTTCTTAGACATGTCCTACTTTTCAGACTAGGCTTGTCCCGATCCGATCCACGTATCGGATCGGGACGCCGATATTGGCAAAAAAATGCGTATCGGCAAAGCATGTAAAATGCCGATCCAGTTTAAAAAAAAAAAAAATCCGGTCCGTATTTTCCAGTTTCGCCGATTGAAACGATCCATTCCATTATTTTGCGCCAGTGTTTCCCTGTTTTGCATTTTTATTAAAACTTACAGTAATACTTGCACCTTTAACTGTTTATGGTTTTACTGCTCACTGTGCAAGTGCAGATTGCTATTCATAATTTTGTCCAGTTTGTGTTTATCTCTTAATAAACAGGTAAGTTTGTTGTTACCAATCATCGTGTTTTATTCAGTCTCACCTAATTCAGCTGGCTAGATGTTATCAAGAGTATTAAAACCCTATTCAACATGAGTCTTACAACTAAGGCTAAATACTTTAACTTAAACTTAAATACATGCTCGGATAGGCTGGTATCGGCCAGTATCGGTATCGGATCGGAAGTCCAAAAACAATATCGGTATCGGATCGGAAGTGCAAAAACCTGGATCGGGACATCTCTATTTCAGACCTAAAGAAATGTCGGGGGGAATTTTAAAATCATCTGGGATTTTGGTCGCCTACAGTGCAGCAGAACTGTAGGCTGATCCGGGAACTATGGGGGAAGGGGACAGGGGGCCAGCGGGGGACGGAGCGACCGAACCCGACCCAGTGATGGTAGCCTAGACACCGGCGACCCCTTGCTTCCCCCGCCTGCACGGTAAGGTAGGTGGGGGGGGGTGCATACCGTCCCAGACTGGCTGCCTGCCCTCTTCTGCTGGGGTTCCCGGACCAGCCCTAGAGCTGACGGCTCGGTTGGAATGCCTGGTCTGGTCCAGTCAGAGCCCCAACAAATTGAAATTGATCTGTATGTCAATGTCGGGGGGTGACAACAGTACAGGCCAGAAGCAAATAAGGCAACATGCCCTAATTCAGTGGTTCCCAAAGATTTTCTTCTGGGCCCCCCTTTGGATTACAATAAAATGTCCACGCCCCCCCCATAACCCCCCGACCCCCAAAAAAAACAAAAAAAAAACAGATATAATAAACCTATACACATATTTTGTTTTCAAACTCCACTGAAGTTTATTTCACACTTCAGGTTGCAACAAAACAAACACCATCTTTACGGTGGAACACTTTTGTGTAACAGTATTTTTTTCATAGTTCTATAATGTAGATTAGAAGAGGATTCTTTGTTGTCTGTGTTATTTTAAACATATTTCTTTTTTTTTTATCTGTAACAATATTTAACTTTGCTATAATCTATACATTAAAAAAGCCTCTGTGCAAAATGGAGTGAAAACATTGAACAGCTCCCTGAGAGTTTTTTCTTTGTACTTTAATCCTCCCATCTTTTCAGTGGCTGTAGTGAGCCTGCTTTTTGCTGTAGATCTTCTCAAATCTGGGTTGCAGTGTCACAACTGTCCATTATGCTCAGTCAAGCAAGCGCTGTTTTTATTTTTTTATTTTTTTCTTCACTCATACCGCTTCCCGCGCCCCCCCTGCAATGGCATTGCGCCCCCCATAGGGGGCGCGCCCCACACTTTGGGAACCCCTGCCCTAATTGATGTCAGTGTGGTGCTTCGTTTAGATTCGCCTGTTTTATGATGGAAGTTTAGAATTGTGAGATTTTCAGGAGGTGTTGATGTGGTTTGAACTTCTCTGTACGTCCATTTCACCCCCTGAGCTATCGTTATTCATCTATCAAAATGGAAATTCTGTTTTGCATTCTATGACTCCTTTAAAGTTGCACTTCCACAGATCCACGGCATCAAGGTGAGCTCCCTCCTGCAGTCTGTCTCTGCAGAGACGTAGACGGCCATCTTTGCTTCACAGATTATAAAATGTAAAAGTCGGGCCTTTAGCTTGTTTCTTCTGTTCTGGAAAACCCATAAACAGAGCATTTGTAAAAATCGTCCCAAAAAGACTAAAAACATGAATTAAATGGCTAAAAATGGTCTTTAGTCTTGTGCATTCCATAAAAACATAGAACACGTTTTCAATGTTTTTTGCGTGTAAAATCCTCCATTGGAGATCACCAGATCGTTTCTTGATTGGAGGCTTGTATAAAGTCCTCCACTGAAGCCTGTCCAGATGCAGAACGGCCGGTTCTGAAGATGTCTTTGGTTTATTGCTTTAATGCAGCTGTTGGTAAAGAGCTTTGTGGTTCATGTTCTGAAAGTTTGACAGAGAAGTTCAAGCAAAATGCCAAATGTTGACAAATACAGTGCAGGAGAAAATAAAATACTAATCATACATGGAAGAAATGTTGAACATTAATCTAAGACCTTTTAGTGATTTCCATCATAGGAAGAGCTAGCTAATGGCTAAAGAGTCAAATGTAGATTCAACCATTGATTGATTGACCTTATTTATATCTCAGTGGAGAAATCTACTCGTTCCATCACCTCAAACAGTCATTGAAGAAGCAGGTGCCAAAGGAAGAAAAACATGCATGGGATATATACAGTGTGTCCACATTCTGGACACACAGTATATGTTGTATATATTCTGGCATTTCAGCAATTCACTTGTTTAATTTACTAATTATTTTAAATCCATAAATTATTTTAAAGGCAAACAGAAGATCTAACAAACAGCAATACACACCTTAAAGTTCTCTGTAGACGTTTTAGGTTAAATCTAAATAATAGACGTGGCCGGTGAACCCCCTAGAAACACAGCGTTAGTGTTGGACTTCTTTCTCAATAGATGCGTTTCAACATTAATCTTCTTTAGCTTTGAATTGCTCCAGATTTTAACCAACCAGAAGCTAAAGTTTTATTTTTAACGGGATTGTTTGGTATCCTGTTTTATTGTAGATTTGCTTTTTATAGAGTGAATATGGCTCAGTTTCACCCTCCTGACTCTATTTGCCAGGTTTTTATTAAACCTTCCCTGCTTTTCTTTATAAAGGTCAAACGCAGGGATCTGAGAGACTGTCTAGTTTTTTTTTTTATCACAATGGGAGCAGATAAGATTGTGTGAATGTAACGCAGTCAAATATCTAATTGGGCCATTTTAATGTGAGATGGGGAGGAAGCTCCTCATAAAGCTGAGCTGTAGATTGTTTGATGTCGATTCTTATAGATCTGGTTTTATAATACCGTAATGTTTTTACTCCATACCTTTCTGGTGTTACTTTACCAGCCAGTCATAGTCTTTAACCTTGACCAGGGGTCTGCAACCTGCGGCTCCAGAGCCACATTTGGCTCTTTGGACTCCAATGGCTCCTAATAGTGGCTAAAAGCCCAACTAAGTAATGAATTATGACAAATACCTGTCTTAGAAGCTTTAGTGGTTTTTATAAAGAATATTTGAATTGAATTTTCACAACAGAGTGACGTGTAAAGAACAAAGGAATATTTTCTTGGAGCTATTTTTCTTTTAATAAACTCAGAAATTATGTTTTACAATTATTTCAAAAGCTAAAAATACAAATATACGGTATGTTGTTTAAAATGCCAACACATTTCCTATCTGAGATATTTTAACCAAAATGTTTGGTTTTGTTTGATTAAAGTCACAATATTTTGCAGCTCTAAGCGACTCTTAATTAAGCAGTCTCAGGGGAAAATGGCTCCTTAGATATGAAAGGTTTCTGACCTCTGACCTGGACCATTAATCCTAAGCAGAATTCATGTTTAGATGAGTTTAAGCGGCTCTATGTCAGCAGAGTCCATTCATCGGATATTTACGACTGCCTTCTGTTTTCATTTGTTGAATGTAATAAATAGTTGATCCTATCGTTCTAATGAATCTTTCCCCTCTGGCGGCGCTCAGTGAGGAGCGCGGTTCCTGTGTCGGCTGAAACCAGGCCAATATGTGGAGTTATGGGAACCATTCGTTTGCCAGCAGGTCAGCTCAGCACGTTCAGGTCAAACTGTCTGTTTTATTAGATAAGGAATCTCTGTTTTACTTTTCCTCTCGGTCTAATTTCCAAATATCTGCAGGAATGTACCTGATAATTATCACAAAGAAGACGAAGGCGGGGGATCTACTGGGCCATGATGTTTGGAAAGCCCAGAGTTTCGACATCATTTCTTACAAAAAGACGGTTCTGCACCTGAACGAGGACCAGGTGGGTTTGCTTCTGTTTTCACATAAACAGATTCATAGAAAATGAGCTACCTGCTAAACCAGCAAGCCTTCTGTCTTCTTCTGTCAAAATTAGTTTATGCACTTTGATACAGACTGGAAGGTAACATCAAGAGGTTTTAATCAGTATTTTCTCATATCTAAGGTACTTTCAGAAGTTTGATTTCTGAATATGAGCGAACTTTTACACTTCATGTTTGAGGCTGTGTAAGATCAATATAGCAGAAATAAACAGAAGCTCTGGGATGGACGGCTGAAAAGCATTTAGTTTCTGTTCTTCACATGAATCCCTGTAGATGGCAGCAGAGCTCTTCACGTTTTTAATGCATCACTTCTTTTCAAACAGCTGCTTGGCTGGAGTAATCCCCTACTAGACTAAGACACTCCGTCTTATTTTTACATTTAAAGTTTTCTAATAGCTAAAATGTCTTTAAAGATTCGATTAAGTTTCTTAAATATTAGTTACATTTTGTTAGCTAGTGTAGAAAATCTATTGAACTCCAGATGAGTTGCTTCACTTTAAGTCTCTCTGTTAAAGAGTGACATATTTTAGTCGTTTGTTTGTCTTTATGACTGTAGATCCCTGTTAATGAAAACCAAGGTTTTAGTAGAAACTTCTGTAGAGACTGTAATACCAGGAGCTATAAGTTTGTGTTTGTCTGCAGACGACCATAAGAGTGTCTGTTTATCTCATGGACGGTGAAAAGTATCGAAATTACATTAAATAAAACATATTGGAGCTTCAGTCAGAATACTGACCTGGTGACTGATTTCCCATCATCATGCTAGAATCCTAAACAACAAAAGTAAACCATTCTATAGTTTATTTTTAAATGGAGGAGAGCATGATCTTTGCATGTTGGGGTAAAATGAGAAAAATAAATGGAAATGACACATGAATTAGACCACCGTTTTAAAACTATTTTCACTTTTAATGCCTTTACGTCTTTAAATGATTAAAAAGCAAAAAGCGTTTTAAGTTGCCAGTCTAAATATCTCCGATCATTAGTTCTTTATGTGATGTCACTGACCTCTAGCTAAGGTGGAAAAACCCAAAAACCATTCTTGTCTCAGAGTTGCATGTTGTTGCGTCCTCTGTTTCCTTTTGCTTCGTCGTTATCTGGGATTTTCCATGACATCTCATTGCTAAATGTTCTATAAACTACCAAGGTTTCTGCCTTCTGGTTTAACCCAGAATATTTCCAGATGATTTGTGACGTTTTTTAGTGAAGTTTGTTTTATGCGATGGATGATGTCAGAAGTTCAGTTCAATCTGAACGCCATTTTCACTCCATAAGCAAAGTTCTGATATTTGGTCATTTAATTTTTTTGAAAGTGATTTTTAACAGTCTTTTTTTTTTTTCTTTGTCAAACAGCAGAAAACTAGTTATTGTTGAGTCCTTCCTCAGCTTTTTAAAGATAATTTTATTCAGAAATCTCTTTTTTCTCATTTCTTTTTAATTCCTGTTTCAGATGCAAGACAATAAAACCTTCCTGTCAATGATCAACAGTGTGCTTCAAACTGACGGCTTCTACTTTGCAACAGACTATGACCTCACTCACACTCTGCAGCGCCTGGCGAACACGAGCCCCGATTTCCACGACCTGAGTCTCCTGGAGAGGGTATGAGACACCAAGCAGCCTCCATTGGCTTTTCATTCAAAAATAACATGATTATTGCATTAGGTTTGTCAAATTTGTCCTACCTCCACAACAACCACCTAATCACATGCAGATACATGCTCACCTTTTACAGGACTTACAAAAAAGTTAAAAAACAATCCACTGGACTTTGTTTCCAGGTTTGAAGACGTTTCTCTTCCATCCAGGAAGATTTTTTCAATTCAAAATGTCAGAAATAGCGTTTAGTTCCAGGTTTTATCCAGTAGCCCAACAAAGCCTGGTTTTAGTTTAGAAAACATGCAAATAGGAACAGACGAACGGGTCCCCCCCTTTGGAATGGGGGTCGTTTGGTTTCTTTGTTAGCCTGCAATGCCCCATACCTGTCTATGTCTCTGAAGGGGGGTCATTAGAGGGAATTGGCTGAATAGGTGAGGTCTTCTGTTCCCCTGTAAAGGGGGTGGGGGCTGCAATGATAGCGGGAAGGAATCAACTCTATTGCTGTGTTGTAGGTTTTTGAAAGCTCACCTGAGCCCCCTCAGGTGAGCCCACCCCACCCAACACCCGCCACCCCTAAATGAATGCTCTATAACCAGCATTCGTTGACACTCGCCTAGCAACGAAAGAAGAATAAAACGGGGTAACGAGGGGCGATCAGCCTCTCACAACAATCTCCAGATCAGGAATTGTAAGGCCTGCAGAGAATCAAACATGGTTGACATTGAGTCATCGTAAGGTGGCATCAGAGCGCCAGGCCGCACAGTGTGAGAACAAACATCGTGAGCTGTGAACTGTTAAAACATACAGTTTCGTCGTACAGTTTGCGCTGTAGCTGCGTGCAACGTTTGACAGCATTGCACGGTGCATGCCCTTCTTAACACACACTGATGTAAACCTCTTCCACTCAAGTTGCTTTTTTTTATTATGATTTAAAATAAATCAAACACAACTTAACATTATGTTCGTTTTTGAAAAATCTTCACAAAAGTTATGCAGCACTGCAGCTGTTAGCCTGATGCTAATTTGCACTGGAATACTATAAAGATATTTCTCTTCAGATTCTTTGAACCTATTAAAAACCGTTCTTAGAGGTGTCTTAAACAAGTCAGACATGTTATAAACACGTCACAGAGAAAATATACCAGGGTGGGTTAACTCTGCAGAAAACTGGTTTCTGCTATGGAGCTCTAAGAAGAGGATTTCTATAGCGCCATTTCACAGCACATGTCATCTCAAGGCACTTTACAGAGACACTAGATCATACAGTCAGATTGGTTCTAAGTTTTCTATCTAAGGAAAACCAACTGATTGCATCGACTCATTGACTTTTCAGCAACCCCTCACACTAAGCATGCTTGTAGTGACAGTGGAGAGGAAAAACTCCCTTGGAACAGGAAGAAACCTCCAGCAGAACCAGGCTCAGTGTGAGCGGCCATCTGCTGAGGCCGACTGGGGTTCAAGGAGACAGAAGCAGAGACACAAAAAGCAACTGTAAAGGCGGCCCCGTCCAGGAAACACACAGCCCGGCAGACGAGCTCCGAGCCAGCTCCCATGTCAGAGGATGAAGAGAGCACATCCAGTTAGTCACAGTCAGAGAAACAGGACTACACTGAACAACAGGCCGATCTCCAACATCTAGAAACAAAGGTGTTGATGGCAGCAGCACAGCTGATGTTTCTCTCCAGGATGGAGTCACAGCCAAACAGGAACAGACCAGATGAAGCTACTATGAGAAAAAGAAGAGAGAGCAGAACGTTAGAGATTGAACTAACAGATTCTGCAGAGTGGGAGAATAGAGATAGAATGATGAAATGAGGGTCCCTATGTCCTCCAGCAGTCTAAGCCTATAGCAGCATAACTATAATGATAGCTCAGGATAACCACTCTTACTATTATAGCATATGGTTTAAAGGAACTAGAGGTAGGATGAGGAAATGTGACACAACAGGCGCTGCGGTAACTGCAGCCACCATTAAAGCGGGACAGAAGTGAACAGAAACATGCCGTATGCCCAGCCCCGTAATGTTTTTTATTACCTCGCTTTTCAGTAGGCTCATTTATTGCCTGCAGAAGAATCCATTTCTGTCCCCGAGAGACTGAAACAACCACTGCTGCTTCTACTGAAACAATCGTGAACTTCTGTAACAAAGCTGTCGGGGCGTGCGTGCAGTATAAATTGATGTCACGTTCATACTACTATGATTGTTTTGTTGTCACAACTAGTTTAATTTTATAGCCGCCTGTGTTTGGTCTGTTTCAGGCAGATCAGCGTTTTGTTTGGAACGGCCACCTGTTACGAGATTTTATGACCCAGCCGGAGGTAAGAGACGTACAGGCAGTTTATAACCAGTAGGTCTTGTAATTCACTACTTCTGGACCCTTAAAAACAGTTTGTGTGAGTTGAACTGTTGAGTCATCACTGGCAGCTTAGCAGTTTCTAGGTCATTGAGGTAGTCTGCTCCACCTGCTCTTTAACTTCCTCTCCAAGCTCTCCTGCTTTCTAAAGTGGCTTTGGTAGCAAACAGAATCTAATCTCTAAACATTAATTAGATGGTTCTAAGTTCCAGTTATTTCCACAACTCCTGTTATTTTACTCTGTGGTGTCTTTTCCTGTAGAATTGAAAGATCCAGCATTTTGAAAGAGTTCTGGACGTTTAAAGGAAAAGATATTTGAAAAAAGCAAAGATTAGTCATATTTTAATGGAATCCTCCATCAAAGGGAACCTGTGAACCATAGACTGCAAATGTGATAATAATAGGAAAAAACTGGTAAAAAAAAAAAATCTAAATCTGTTTATGACAGAACCACAGCTTGAACTAACAATTATTCTGCAAATCGATTAATTATCCATTAATAGAAAAGGGTTCCATAAAGAAGATTTTTTTTTTAATGAACTTAAACCTGATGAAACTAAAACTTTTCCACTTGAGGAGTTCTGGATAGAGCAGATTGACAGACGAAGCAATTTAAAAAAAAAAGTTAAATGCAAAATGCTTATATAATATTTTTTTTGTGGCAATTTTGATGTAATTACTGCTTTAAATGGATTGCTCTCTCAGCTAAAGGCATGTTTTAGAGTCTCTATTCTCTAGTTCACCATTAATCGTTCAATAAACTAGTTTCAATAATCGATTAAGTCAATAGTTTCAGCCCTATGCAGAAACTCAATGCTTTCATCAGCCTCACAAATAGAAGTAGAGCAGTTAGACTGTCCTCTGGGGGAGCGGGGGGGGGTTTGGGTTCTTTCTTGATGAATTAGAGCCGCAGTAATGTTTCACCTTCCTGCTTTACAGCTGCACAAGTTTGTGTTTCCGGTTCTCCACGGCTGTATCCTTTTCTCTGGCTGTTCATATAAAACCCTCCTGGTACGAAGTTTAACCAAGAAATTCTAAACTAGAGACTGCATCAGAGAAGGAGTCCAGCTTTTCCACCTGGAAAAGGTGAAGCTTTATCTGCTCTAGACTGGATTGTTAACTGATGGCAAAGCGGAGCAACCTGTTGGCACAGATGGTGACGAGGTGGACCCAAGTCAGATTTTGAGCAACTATAATTGGATATTTGTTGCAACCCCACAATTTAATCTGGCTTTTACAGCAGATAATTACATTGTTTTAACACTTTACTGAACATAAGCGGTGTAGAAATTGAAAACCTTAAGAAAATTGGAACATTTTTAAACTACAAGTTACATGTTTTCCAAAATACCTGAAAAGCTGCAGAGCTAAAAGATAAATATGATTTGTTCTGGTTTTGTTTTTATTGAAAATATGCTGTTATTTATTTACTGTATATTGTTGCTTTACAGCATCAGGAGGTCAAATGTAACAGCGGTGCATTGACTGAAGTGTAAAGAATGTTTGAGTAGAAATATGTTGTTTCCTGCATTGAGTTCTCCTGATTCCATCAACAAGTTGGTTCCTTAACACATCTACTGCTCAGTCATTAGCATTAAATCCAGCTCCATCAACGGGAAGAAGTTTGAGTGGATTATAATCTCCAGAAGAAGCTGTTTCAGAGCGGGGGTCCGGTACTACGTCAGAGGTAACCTCTGCAGGATCTAAGAGGGCAAAGATCTGCGTCTCTGTTTATCATTTTAATTATAGGATAGACTTTATGAATATTGGACTGTAAAGAAGAGAATTTATCCCCATTTATGCAAAATGTCAAACTTCGTCCTGTGTGTTTTTATTTTTTTTTTATTTTTTCTTATCCATTGCACTCTGTATTAATCTGTTGGCTGGATGAAGGTTTTTATGGTAACATGTTCACATTAGCAGATGAAGTTTACTGTTCACACTGTTATCTACACGATAATTTAGAACAGCTTGGGCAAAATTGGCTTATTTATTTGTAAATGACTTTCCTACCATGAAAGAGAAGCCTTGCCTGCTACCTGCTTACGTAATATCTCACTATATCAGCATCTTTTTGTTATTTTCACACAGGTATTGACTCAGAAGGCCACGCTGCAAACTTTGTAGAAACGGAACAAATAGTTCAGTACAACAGTTTCAAGGCTTCCTTCGTCCAGGTGAGTCAACCTACCATCACGTCATTAATGGGACAACTTTAATATAGAGACTGAATAAAGGGGAAAATCCACCAGACACCATGCTGCGCATCAAAGAGGCATCCATGCAGGTTTGCACAGCTTACCCATTGGACAGCTTTGTGTTTGAAGCTGTAAAACCATTTAATAATTGATAATAATTTATAATTGAAAGTTTATTGATCTCACATTAGAGAAATTTACCATTTAACCCATCCCATTGGGGAGCAGTGGGCTGTTGTGTGGCGCCTGGGGAGTTGTGTGGGGTTAAGGGTCTTTGCTCAGGGACCCAGAGTGTCAGTCTGTGGGAGTGGGACTCAAACTCAGAACCTCTGGGATCCAAGCGCAACGCCCCAACCACTAGGCCTCCTATATTTAAATATAGACCTTAATAATTTTTTTCCCTCCTTAAAATGAGTAAACGTACTAAACTATAATGTATTAAAGGTTAATAATGTATTTCCTCAGAAAATAATGCATTTAACGGGGTTCCCGCGGGTCCTTAAAAAGTCTTAAAAAGCATTGAATTCTTCAAAATAAAACTAAGGCCTTAACTGGTATTAAAATGTCTTAAATCAATCTTTCGTAGGTCTTAATTTTTAAAACATCCTAAATAGGATTATTTTTATTACAATTTACTTTTGTAATCTAAAAAAAACGTTAAAATTGAAAATTTATTTATTTATTACCGGTATTTTTTTTATAAAAAAAAAAAAATGGCTCGCGATTATTGGTTCCGTCCCGATAGCAGAACCAATAAAACGTTGTTGTGGCCGGAACATTTGGGAGATGTGTTCTGGTTAAGTTGTCGCAAGCAGGTTTTTCTTGTGTTTCTTGTGAATTTGGTCTTAAATTTTTATTTCAAGTGGCATTAAAGTCTTGAATTTAACTTGCCTCATGCTGTAGGAACCCTGTTTAAATGCTTTCTGTTTTATCACTGCTCTGTGCTGGAAATGGGATCCTACGCTCCTGTTTGGGCTTTGGATTTACACAGAAATCTCTTTGAGTTTCATGTTCTCCTTTTGTTCTAACATTATCGAATAAAGTTTGTAATCTATAGAAAGAAACGACTAAGATGCAGATAAAGGTGGTTTAACTATATTTTGCTCTGAGCATGTCTGATGTTGATGTCAGACAGTTTAACAGAGAAAATGTAAAAAGCATCAAATTATCACAGAAAAGTCATAAAAAAATAATTAAGTAGTTTAGCATTCTTTAATTATTTAATTATTAAGTAATTTTAGTACCATAATTACATTCATCCAGAGGATGAATATCTGCTTCTGCTTACACATGTGCAAATGAGCGGATGGTGTGGATCGGGTAGTCAAAGCGCTGCTTCCTCCACACGCTGAAAGGTTCAGACATATTAGCATCTTACAGGATGCTAATGTTGCATCTTATTTTCAACATGGGGCTTCAAAGTTTACTAACCTGCATGGCTGCGCCTGTTCTGACCTCACTTTCTGCCTCTAATGACCTGAAATGTTTATTCTGTGAACTGCTTTGTCTCTTCAGGCTGCTATCGGCTGTGTTTTCCATTTAGCCATGTTCACTGGCATACATGCCGTTGTAATGCACTGCTGCTATCATGTGTTAACAGAAGGGTTGTAAAGTCGGGGCTTTACAACCCTTCTGTTACCTTTAATCTGTCTTTACATGTTTCTGATAGAAGAGCCAATGTGTGTGAGCCCTTCATGCCATGTGTTTATTTTCCAGACCAGAGGCTCCATCCCTTTCTACTGGTCTCAAAGGCCTAATCTGAAGTACAAGCCAAAGCCACAGATCAGCAAGGCGGTTAACCATGTCAGTATTTCACTCCCAGTTTACATAAAACCACACTTTGTACTTCTTTGTTGTATTAAATGTCTGATGGTGTTTCCTCCTTGATGTTCATCCCAGTTAGATGGATTCCAGAGGCATTTTGATTCTCAAGTCATTCTCTATGGAAGACAAGTCATTTTGAACTTGGTGAGTTATGTTATCACAGGTTTTAATGATTTCAATTCAGTTTATTTCTATAGCGACAATTCACAACACTTCATCTTAGGTCACTCTACAGTTCACCAGATCATCCAGTCAGATTGATTCAAAGTTTTCTATCTAAGGAAAACCAGCTGATTGCATCGACTCATTGACTCTTCAGCAATCCCTCACACTAAGCATGCTTGTAGCGACAGTGGAGAGGAAAAACTCCCTTTTAACAGGAAGAAACCTCCAGCAGAACCAGGCTCTGTGTGAGCGGCCATCTGCTGAGGCCGACTGGGGTTCAAGGAGACAGAAGCAGACATAGAAATAGAAGCATAGATACAAAAGGCAACTGTCAACCAGCTTCACAGGCGGCCCCGTCCAGGAAACACACAGCCAGGCAGACGAGCTCCGAGCCAGCTCCCATGTCAGAGGATGAAGAGAGCACATCCAGTTAGTTAGAGTCAGAGAAACAGGACTACACTGAAAAAACAGGCCAATCCCCAACATCTAGAAACAAAGGTGTTGATGGCAGCAGCACAGCTGATATTTCTCTCCAGGATGGAGTCACAGCCAAACAGGAACAGAGTAGATGAAGCTTCTTTGCGGTATTTGTTAGTTCAATCTCCTACATTCTGCTTTTTCTCAGAGTGGGAGAATAGAGATAGAATGATGAAATTGGGGTCCCTATGTCCTCCAGCAGTCTAAGCCTATAGCAGCATAACTATAGAGATAGCTCAGGATAACCTGAGCCGCTCTAACTATAAGCTTTATCAAAAAGGAAGCCTTAAAGTAGACAACTGGTAGGTGGTTCCACAGGAGAGGAGCCTGATAATTTCATAACCGAAACATGTTGAGGTGGAGGTTCTGCTGATAAAATGTTCAGATGAACTGAACTATGAGAAAGCTGAACTTCTCATTCACCTTCTGGCTATTCTCCCACAGATCAACCAGAAAGGTTCAGAAAAACCCTTGGAGTTGGCGTTTGACAAGATAGTAACCAGCTCGGGTAATGGGATGATCAAGTAAGCCTTCCGATCGGTTCCAGAGTTGCTTCTACATCCATTGACCCTGATCTGGTGCAGTTTTGGTTGACGAATGGTGCTCTGCAGGTACATCGCATTTGACTTTCATAAGGAATGTAGTCGGATGAGGTGGCACCGCCTTCAAATCTTGCTGGACGTCGTTTCTGAAACACAGGAGGACTTTGGGTCAGTGTTATTCAGGCACTCGGAATGATCATATAGGAGGTGCAGGGTTGCTGTTCAGCTGATTCATGATGGGTTTATGGTTTCAGGTATTTTCTCGTGGATGCTGAGGGGAAGGTACAGTTAACCCAGGAGGGTGTATTCCGGAGCAACTGCATGGACTGTTTGGACCGTACCAATGTGATCCAGTGTCTGCTAGCGCGGCGCGCCCTTCAGTCTCAGCTGCAGGTATCGTTAACATCCGTGATATCATTTCATTTGAAATGACTCTTAACCAATTTATGCCTGTTGTTGAAGAAATGCATCAGACTGCTGCATGAATAGCCTAGATCATGGCTCACCCAGGGGCCCTCAGGGACCACATGGGGCCCTCAGTATGTTCTGAAAGCAGCACAACTCACCAATGGGCTAAGTTTAAACACTTATTTTTTCCATTGCTCTTCTTTTTTAATCAGATCTCATTTCTACAGATTTTAAAATCACAATATTAGAAAAAAACAATGAAATTAATAGTTTGATCCAATTACTTGTTTATTTACTTTATGTTCAGCAAGGACTGATGTTAAATATTCATATCAACACAAACAATTGTTCAATTTATTGTTTGAATTAGAAAGAGCTGCAGGTCAGAGGTCACCAGCCTCTCTTAAGGCTGAGGACTACTTCATGTTTATAGACAATGTTGTTCCAGTTCATAGTTAAAAAGCACAAGCTCAAAATTTAGTTCAGACGGATGGAAATGAACTAGTTCAAGTTTGTTTCACACTTAAAGTGTCTGATCATAATATATGGAAATAAATAGAAAATATAGGATGCTGTCAATGTTTGCTGGATGTGCAGTGAAGCCTTTATTTAGCCAAATTACACAGATCATTCAGGAACATTCAGGTCCTGCTGAAAAGATCTGGATCAAAATGATTTCTTCCGTTCTTCATTCAGTAGCAGATATTTCCAACGACAGCTCAGATGCTTTAACTTCATGCGTCACTTAATTTAAAAAAAAAATTATTTTTGATCATACAACGAACATACAAATAAAAAGGAACAAAGTACACTAATATGAACATGTCTGGGTAGCACCTTCTTTCAGTTTTTCTGTTTATATAATGTCCATTTTTCCCATTTTTTTTTTTTTATCTGTGGTTCTTGTAGTCTCAGTCTGTGTGTTAGTCTTTCCATGAGGAATATGTCTTCAATCATTGTGATCCATTGGTCCTTTGATGGCACGTCTGACTTCCCCCATTTCCTTGTTATACATTTCTTTGCAACTATCAACATCACTTTTTCCAAATAGTTATCCTTTTCATGGATAGTATCATCACCAAAATTGCACAAATAGAGAATTTCATGTTTTATTGGAATTACATACCCTAATACCTCTGCAAACCATTTCCCAAAACTCCAAAAGTTTTGAAAACTTCCAAAAAACATGGGAATGGTTGACATCTATCTCCCCGCTCTCTCTCCAACATTCTTGATGCTTATGCATTTGTTTACTTTTGGACTTGGGCGTAATAAAAAATCTCATTCAAATTCCCTCCCATGTCCGAGAGCCAGTAGTTGTACGGTGTAGTTTCCACATGTTGAGCCAATCAATATCTTCAATTTCTAAGTCAAATTCTCTTTCCCATTTTCCCTTCACATAGTTAGTTGTATGTTTATTAAGGTTTATTAGGGCTTTGTATAATGCCGTTATTATTCTAATATTACTGTCTTTGTATGCTTTAATTATAATTTGGACCACTTCGCTCTCTTCCACGGAGGGCCTCGTTTGTATTTCCTTTTTGTAATAGTCTCTCATTTGGAGATATCTGAAAAATTCATGTTTATCAAATTGATATTTATGTGCCAGAGTTTGGAAACTCTCCAGCCTCCCATTGTTTTCCAGAACACACCAAGCTGTAACTGCCTTAGTTGCCCAGTATCTATAATTTTGGTCGATTTTTAGCGGGTGTAAATTTGCCATCATACGCTACCCATTTTAGTTTTGTTGTATGTTTTTGGATTTTATGCAGACGCACTATTCTAAACCAGATATTAAACGTATGTTTAGTTATCAAGTCTAAGTGTGGCTTAATTTTAAAATGGTCCCGGTGCAAAGTTTACGCAGAAACGCGAGTCTGCATCTTCCTTTGTTGGTTCATAAAATTCTGCCAAGCGCTCTGCTAAAGTGGAATCAAAAATACCATCAGAAGAGTCTGAGTGGAGCAGACTGGTTCTAGCAGCAGACATGCTGCTCTGTCAGACTGTTGGTCGGAATAAGTGCTGTAAAACCTGATATTATCCAATGAAAAGTGTCGTTATCAACTGAATGTGAACATGAGCTTAGTGTCGCTCATGATTCTCAGAGTGAATGTCGCTCTTATTCACGTTCATTATTTCAAAACTGATCCGTTCACTAAAAATAGGAAATTATTCATTGAACGATTTCATGCATGACACTGGTCATAAGAAGGGCTCCTAATACTGACCTGTGAACTGGAGGAGTCAGCTTTCACCTAAACATCAAACAGAATAAACATTTATTATTTCTTTAAATTTTCTTTTACATGTTTTCATTTTGAAATCTCTATAAATGCTGAAATTCTCTACATCAGTGGTTGTCAATCCTTTTCCTCAGGGCCCATTGACCTGTTTATTTAGGTCCCTCCTTGCTGCCCGTCTTAAATAAAACGGCCACCTGCAGCACTGATGAGTCTGTTGCAGCACACCTGCTTCAGATGATTGCAGAGAGACGTCTTAAACATGCAAGGACCAAACAGCGAACCACTTGATGATTAACACCATGAGATCCTCCATAAATGATTCACAAGAGAAGAGCAACACAATAAAACAAGATTCCAGACTTAGCCTACTGGTGAGCTGTTCTGTTTTCAGAAGACGCTGAGCGCCCTTTAGTCCCTTTAGTCATTTTAACAACAATTTAATTACTTATTTTTTTGTGGTTTTTGAAGCGTACGGCGATCTGATCTTTATTTTTTTAAAATCTTTTTCGTATATGACTAAAGAGATGCACGCCCATTGAGGTAGTTTAAAGTCCATTTTTCATTCAAAAAAATAAACGGATAAATGCAAATCTGATGTGTTGTGCATCTTCTTGACTATGGGTTTGCTGGTCTGCAGAGGTATGCTCATTTGACAGAACAACGGCGCTTGATGTGGAGCGTTAGAGGAGCTTAGGGGCCAGTCTGAGATTCAGTCATGGAATCCTCTCCATGCCATGAATTTGTTCTGTCCAGCCACTGAAGCTCAATTGAATTCAGCAGTGAATTGAGTTGTACAGACTGGACTCAGCTGGGTCAGTGGCTGCGCTGTGGCATGGAGGTGACTTGGTGAATCCATCTCCCACCTCTGGTTTTACTACAAACATGTATGCAACATCTTTTAAGCAGCCATAACTCTGCAAGTCAGACACCTAAAGCATTTATTTAGACTTTAAAGTCGTAGGTAAGTTATACTTAAATGTCAAATCATTCTGGCTTAAACATGTATATAAATGTTCTCTTTATCAGACAATATTGTCCCAAAAATTTCTATATTTAAAAAAAATCCTGTCTTAAAATCTGTCCTTTTGCTTTCGTTATCTTCTGCAGGCCAGTTAGTTATATATCAACGGTCATCTATCAATCAAATATTTTCGGTCATATCATCTTGATTCATGTGTCGCAGCTAATATGCGCAAAGGTTGAAATCCGAATCCTTTCCTTTCCCATTGAGTTGCGTCCCAGTGTTCACGGGGATGGACGTCTGTGTCTTCAGCAGGCGTAGAGCTAACAGAACTGGCAGCGTTGCGAGGCAAGGGCTCAAACATGTACGGCTGGAAGCCTTCTACATCAAACCAAGCTTCTGCCGCCCTGGCGTCCTCTTCCACAACATCTTCATCCCCGCTTTCCTCCTCTAAATAAAAAAATGTATGATGGAGGAGACTCATCCACGACCTCCGACACTAAACTCTCCTCCTCTTGCATGTTTCCTCTGTCCATAGCGTTCCTTGACAGTGTCGTTTCTAAGTCACCAATTTAGTGCTACTTGGTCCCTATGGAATTTCCCATTGGGAACCTACTAGCACTAAATGGTTAGTTATTATCCCTGCAGCAGTGTGTCACAGTGAGCTTGACGCAGACATTTATTATTTATGCTAAATTTTGAAGCGTGGTCTGCTCTATACCCTGAGGCTTTAGATGCGGCCGAGGCGGTGAGGAAATGGGGGCAAGTTTGTCCGACAACGGAGGGATATGAGGGCTTAAAATAGCGGGGATCCAGGTGGAAAAAGGGTCCCAGCGTTATCACGCACTTCGCTCTTCTTGCTGGGTCAACTTCACAAGTTGTTGTATTTCAGTCATAAAAACAAAACAAGCCGGCCTCCTGTCTGCAGTCACCTACAGTTTGGGCGAGGTGCAGCAGAGTGTCTACGGAGGGGGAGTAGACGTCTTTTTGTTCACTGCGACACCTACGCAGACCACCTAGTTTCAAAGTATAAATCAGCCTTTAGTTGCTAACTGGTTAGCAAGATGATTCAGACAAACCAGCCAAACATGCTTGTAAACCTTCTGCCACAACAATCCCGCCCCCTTAATAAACGACCAATCACATTCACTTTATTCACTTGTGTAAAGTCGGACACCACTCGGGACAATTTGGAAATGCAAAGGTTGGAACAGCCACTTCCCTATGACTTCAAACTACCTCAACCGGCGCATATCTCTTTAGTCATGTACAAAAAAAAAATAAAAATACTAAGGTCAGATGACCATATGCTTCAAAAAACACCAAAAGGTAAATAATTAAATTGCTTTTTTGTACATGATTAAAGGCTGTTGAGGTAGTACATTTTTTTTTTCAAAACTAAATGGATAAACAGGTTTTGACTATGGGTATGCTGGTTTGACTGGGTATGTTCATCTGACAGAGCACCAGCCTGAAGGGGTGTGGTAGAATAGGTGATAATGTGGACACTTTATGAGAGCAGGAATTTATTGTAAACAAGAACAACAGAAAACATGTTTTAATCTGGTTTCCTCTATAGAAAGTTTTATCCTGGATGCTTTATATTATGAAACACAATCAGCATTTAAACCCAACATGTCAGACTTCTGAAGAAACTTCTTTCTTCTGACAGAGAATGGGACTTCTCCATAAGGACCAGAAAATTGAAGACCAGGCAGATTTTGAGAAGATCTACAAGAATGGTGAAGTTTTCAATATATCCTCCATTTTCCATCATGCATTATTAGGACAATAACATCTCATAATAATAGACAGTCAGACTTCTGTGTTGCTGGCACAGTTTCAAGCATCTGAGGAATGCAGTGGTCAGGGTATCTGTGGGGCCCTGGGTGTCTGGCGCCATGCTGTCCTCAGCCTCTTACATGGCACATATTAAACCTTCCATGTTGCCTTCACGCAGGTCCAACAGAAAACTGGACATTTCATTGAGTATGGGAATTTATCCTAATGTCTCCGCCTCCCTTTGAGTCCCATGATCTTGCTTGCAAAGGTTGTGAGCAGTGACCTTTTCCAACTGTTAGGATTATTCCAGTGAGACGGTAACTTTGGACAAATTGATCCCAAGATGGAAAAAGCAAAGATATGATGTTTAGCTGTAGTTTCATGGAGCTCAGAATTTCAGATTCCTGATCTGGAGCCGCTGAACAGAAGCCTTACCATGTTTATTTCCCCTCCATGGGACTCTGATGTCACAGTTTCTGTAGCTTTTCTGGACTTAATATTTAACTTCAATGAGAGCCTGAAGTTTTGTGAAGACAATTAATTACATTTTTAAGTTTACTAGCATCCCGTTTTATGTTATGCCTTGTTTATAGCTGTGCACATGCAGGGAAAGAGGGCTGTAGAGATGGCACATCTGCCAAAATAGTTGATAGCTTGATATTATCAATATAAACAATTAACTATTCAAAGAAACACATAGACGTCAAATCAGTATTCCAAAGAAAGCTTAAAAAAACAATCCACCGGGTATCCACAAAAGCCATCTTGAATATAAGGCTTGGATTGTTTGCCTGGTTGGACCCATTCAACATGGACGTGCTTGATGTCACATGTGCAGAAACGGAGCAGAAGCAAATGCATTCAGGGAAATGGGCTACAGGCTGATATATGCATCGGCGCTGAACTACTCAGGCGTCAGTCTGCTCATCTCACTATGTTTTAGTCATAAAGGGTCAAATAGAAAAGCTGCTTTAGATATTTTTAATAAAAATGTACCTAATGTCTCTTTAATCTGATCTGTCCAATGCTTTTTGGTTTACTGACGCATATAATGTATTTGCTTTGTCTCTGAACTCGTCTGCAGCCTGGGCAGACAATGCTGATGCTTGTGCCAAGCAGTACGCTGGAACTGGTGCCTTAAAAACAGACTTCACCAGGTCAGTATTCTCTTAGTAGAGCTCCTCCTCTGTCTGTTCCTTTCTCCGTTGTTTTCAGATGCAGCTTTTTGTTCCTTTTTATATGTCCTCTTAAATATGTCAGTTGTTCTGTCTGAATGAGCTGACGGTGGGGTGTCAGCCTAACAAGTTTTGGCTGATGGCTTTAGAAAGAATCCATTGATTTCTGTCACACTAGTCTGGGATGCCTCCATTGCTCCTCTGTAGACTGAGGTGGTTTTCAATTCACTTTATTTCTATGGCGCCAATTCACAACACGCCATCTCAAGGCACTTTCCAGTTCACCAGATCATCCAGTCACATTGATTAAAAGTTTTCTGTTTTAGGAAAACCATTTCATTGTATTGACTCAAAGGCAAAGCCTCATACTACGCATGCTTGTAGCGACGGTGGAGAGGAAAAACTCCCTTTGAACAGGAAGAAACCTCCAGCAGAACCAGGCTCAGTGTGAGCGGCCATCTGCTGAGGCCCACTGCGGCTCAAGGAGACAGAAGCAGAGATACAAAAAGCAGCTGTAAAAGGCGGCCCCGTCCAGGAAACACACAGCCAGGCAGACGAGCTCAGAGCCAGCTCCCATGTCAGAGGATGAAGAGAGATCATCCAGTTAGTCACGGTCAGAGAAACAGGACTACACTGAAAAACAGGCCGATCTCCTACATCTTTAAACAAAGGTGTTGATGGCAGCAGCACAGCTGATGTTTCTCTCCAGGATGGAGTCACAGCCAAACAGGAACAGACCAGATGAAGCTACTATGAGAAAAAGCAGAGAGAGCAGAACTTTAGAGATAACTTAAGTTTTTTGGATGAGGTATAACATTCCAGCTAAGGTAGAGCCAAGGACTCTGAGATGCAAGTTTAGGAAGTGAAATATAAGGAAACTGGTCCGGCTTAATGTAAACACTGAGAGACGGCCATATGTGTACAGCTTATATGATGATTGAGGGCAATATCCAAAGACAACTTATTAGGATTTATTTTCATGTTTTACTTTGGTATGTAATGTCCAGTTGTTGCTTTAATAATGTTCTGTGGGTTTTTAACCAACATTCTGTTTTTCAGGACGGGAAAGAGAACTGTTCTGGGTGCCATGATGGATGGCTGGAACTCTGCAATCAGATATTACAAGAACAACTTCTCAGATGGCTTCAGGCAGGTGAGTTCAGACGGTTCTTTGTTTGGGGGATTCATGTTCAGTTACTAAATCCTCATGAAGGCATAGAGTGAGTGAAGCAGCTCTGTTTCCTGCCAGAACTACCTGGTCAGTCACTCCTCTGGAGTAACGGATCAGTTGTGAGTCACGAAATGGGGAAGTTCCTCTCCAGGCTGGAGTTCTGTCGGATGAGCATACCTACAGTCAATACCGATTTATCTCTTCAGTTTTTGTAGGAAAATGAAACTTCAACAGGCATTTATCCCTTTAGTCATGTACATAAAAAGCTATTTAATGACTTACTTTTTGGTGTTTTTTAAGCATATGGTGATCTGACCTTAAATAGTTTTTTTTTTCTTCATGACTAATGGGATACACACCCATTGAGGTAGTTTAAAGTCTATTTTTTGTACAAAACTAATGGGATAAACGCTAATCTGAGGTCTTGTGCATGCGTATTGACTATAGGTATGCTGGTCTGATGGGGTATGCTCATCTGACAGAACACCGGCCCACTCTCAGAAGGTTCTGACTGTGATGAAAGTGATTCTGTGAACATTTTCATGACAGACCAACACTATTCAGCTGCATCCAGGTCTGTGTCTGTGTGCAGGACTCCATAGATCTGTTCCTGGGGAACTACGCTGTGGATGAAGCGGACTGGACCACCCCACTGCAGGACCGCAAAGACTGGAAGTTTTTAACTGTAAGAAATAATCTAGAATAATGCAGCAAGATATTTGAAGCCGTTTTAATTGTGACTCTTCTCTGTTTCTGTTTTTCTAGCTGCCCATCGTCATGGTTGTAGCTTTTTCTATGTGCATCATCTGTCTGCTGATGGCTGGTAAGACGCGTCTGTGAAGCAGAAACTAAAGTTATTATTATTATGATGAAGCTGCATCATCGGGTTGGGTAACGACCAGACCACCTCTCAGAATTAGCTTTAGCTGGGAGACCTGAGGGGTTGATGAAGCCTGAAGTGTCCTGATGGATCATTACTCTCCTTTCTTTTTTAGCTGCTCAGTTCAGCAGTTGTTTTAATTATCTGTCAGGGTTTCCTGTCTCAGATGATATTTGTTCCAGAAAGCATGCAGACAGTTTCCCTCTACTCCATACGTACGTAGACTCAATGGAAATAACTGTGCATTATTTCAGTGTTTTTTCATGGCCACCATAGACTAAGGCAGGAAAGCATCAATTGTTGTGGAGGGTAGGTGGGGTGTGAGCAGAGCCCAGGCGAGCACCCACTGAGGGGTCTGTCACTAGGGAGCTGAACTTTATTCATAATGAGTCCAGAACTTATTTCCAATGACAGCCTAACTTATGCATAATGTACAGCAGCGTAATGCCCATGAAATGATGCACAAACATCATTTTTATGGTCATTACGCTGCATGAGTTAAAGCTGCTCCCCTCAGGTGCAGCGGAGCAGGGATGCACCCAGAGGCGCCCGGTCTGCATAAAAAGATGTCTTTAATCGCGATATTAATGCCCAAATAAAAAGAATAAATAAAAAGAATGTTTGCAGTGGCAGCAGATTCAGCATCATGTCTGCTAGGAAGTATGTTGGTGGTGGGCGTGAACGCAGGGAGGATCCATCACCCTCACCTTCTGGCTCCCCTATGATGGGGATGAAGTCTGGAGGAGAACTGACGGTTTCCTCCTGTGAACCCCCTTTATACCAAAACGCTGCCAATACGGCATTATACAGTAGCTGGAAGGTAGAAACACGTTCAGCGCTCGTCTGGAACACATCAGATACCTTGATATGCATTGGAGAGAAGTTCTGGATAAGTTATGCACAACTTACTCAGAGGTTTAGGATAAGCTAGACGCCACGACTGGCACTCCTGGAACTTTTGGTCCATGTATGGCATATGCTGGCACACGTCGGGAAATTTTGAACATTACTTAAAATTTCCAGACGTGTTCCAGCGTGTTCCATTGTGCTCATTACTTACACAAACCGTACCCAAACTTATCCAGCGTATGTCAGCGTTTTTGCCAGATTTTTCATAGGTCAGGCATACGCTGGTCTAAATCATCGAGGTTTGATAGGAGCTTGAGTTAGAGACTCTTTAGTGTTTGTTTAAATATCTGAAAGAACAAGTTCATTTAAACCAAACAAGACAGTCTTATGCTGTGTTCACATCCAGCATCAAAGTGTCAGATTTAAATTCAAAGTCTAGAGTTCCAGTCTGAGCACTGGGAGCGGCGCATCCGAGTGTTCAACGCTGGAGTTCCCAAAATTGAGTTTTTGTTGCTGGACGCCGGAGATTCAACCAGTCAGAAAGCTGATCCTGGAGTTTTTTGGAGGAGATGGACACTGCCTGCAAGGTGTTATTGCTTCTGCATATGAAAAATAAATATCAAGGAGGTTAAACTCCGAAGGTTTAAAAAAACAAACTTTGGAATAATAGATTATGTAGAAGGAATAGAGAGCCAGCTCTGATCCTTATTGCTGCACTAAAAAACATTTTTGTGAACAATGGGCAAAAAAACGTATAAATACCCAAATTAACTAGAAATGTTAAAACCTGCCGACAAAAAAAAAAATTAAATTTCATATTCTGGCCCTTGCGTTTTTTTTTTTACCTCAAAGTTTAAAAACTTTCTATTCACTTGCAGCTGGGAAATCCCCCACAGGCTGGCCACAGCAGAGAGCTCTCAGCGGGGATTTCCAGTGCTGCCTCCCAGTGTTCTGTCAGACCAGCATACCCATAATTAATACCTGTTTATCTCTTTAGTTTATCCGTTTTATTTAGTATGAAAAATAAACTTTAAACTACCTCAGTGGGCGTGCATTTTTTAAATAGTTTTTTTTGTACTTGACTAAAGGGATACAGGGATAAAGTCTGTTTTTGTACAAAACTAAAGGGATAAACGCAAATCTGACGTCTTGTGGACTATGGGTATGCCGATCTGACAGAACACGCGGTATGCTGGAGGACTGGAGCTCCGAACAACAACTGCATATTTTATTGGGATCATAATCCTGATGAACAGAGGATGGTTGGAGATGGACTTTCTCAATTAAAAACAATTTTTCCAGCTCATAATTGAAATAAAACCAAGCTGCTCTCTAGCTTGCAGCTACAGAGCAGATAAACAACCAGAACCTCAAAGCGTCAAAGACACTTGACCCAGCATCCAAATTTCGATGTTTAGGCGTTTTTGACGCATAAAAAGCTTCTGGCGGGACGCAGCATTACAGAGATGTTCTTGAAGAGGACATTGTCAGACCCTAAAATGTAAATGTAGAAATACTGATTGTTGAGCAGGGGCAGGACTGATGGGTTTGCTGTGTTTTGCAGGCGACACGTGGACTGAGACCTTGGCTTATGTTTTGTTCTGGGGAACAGCCAGCGTTCTGACGGGAGGCCTCATCTTGTTTAACGGCCGGGACTTTGTAGACGCTCCCAAGCTGGTCCAGAAAGAGAAGCTGGACTGAATGTGTGCGTGTGGAAAGCAGCTCGGCCCTGGCGAAGCGAACACGTCGTCCCTCCTCCCCCATCGGCATCAGCAGGCCTGGAGCCTTTATTAGCCAGCGTAGCAGCAAAGGAGGGCGATGGACCAGAACCAACCCAGGTTCAAACGGCAGAGAACCGGGAGCGGCAGCGCTGAGGCCTGCTGCTATCCACACGGCACTCGTTATGGTGGACAGGACTCTGTTCACAGGTTTTAGAATAAAACCACAACTTGTTGACTGTCTTCAGTTAAGAAGAATGATCCTTTGTGTAAAGGACCTTTTTTTCCTCTTTATGGATCATTAATATCTGATGATCAGACTCCTCTACATGTATGTTCATACTGCTCATGTTTTATACTTGCATTTGTCCAATAGTTTCAATATTGTTCAACCTGGTTGAAAGTCTGGAACATTATCTTTTGAAGATTCTCAGAAAAAGCCTTGAACTCAACACTGTTTCTGACATTTTGAATTGAAAAAGGTTCCTGGATGAGAAGAGAAACGTCTTCAAACTTGGAAACAAAGTCCAGTGGATCGTTTTTTAAAACTTTTTTGGAATTATATTTTAGTAGAACAGCACTCGGAAGGCAACTATAGTTCAGTGGGTAAAGCAGCCATCTGGCAATCAGAAGGTTGTTGGTTTAATTCCATATTTCTTTCCCATGTCAGGGGAACAAGATGGAGATCTTGGTTTATTAAATGTCACATATAATGTGAAAGCATCAAAAAATTGCTGTAAAAGCTCAACCAAAACTTTCAGATTCATCTCATCTTAAAGCTGGAAGTATGTAATGGCTAATGTAATGTAAAGTCAGACATCTAAAGAAACCAGTCAGTCTAAGAGATTAAAGTTTAGAACTGAATGCTGATCATTTCTGCAGAGTGGTTGTTTTTCATGCTGTGTTTGAATATAAAATGTTCCTCTTTTCAAGGAGATGCAAAATTTATTTTCATTCTGAAAAAATAAAGACTTTAATCCTATTGGGGAATTATGAAGGTGTGCTTTGCCCGATGGCTGGGAGACATGGCGACTTTGGGAATTTAGGGATCCAAGAGCATTGTGCTGCAAAAAAATTAGCAAAAGATTTCTTGAAATAAGTGCATTTACCCTTAATTTGAGTAGGAAATAATTACATCTGCCAATGGAATCAGCATTTATACCCCTAAAATGAGATAACTGCACTTGAAATGAGAGAATGCAGTTGTTTTTTTATTGTTTTAAATGTAAATTGTATTATTCCATTTAGGGCTGAACAATTAATCGCATTTTCAATATAATCGCGATTTTAAAAAATGCAATTTTCAAATCGCGGATTTGCAATTTTTGGCTATGTAACAATTAGTGAATCAGACGCGTTCTTTAGGTGTCAGTAAAATGTTTAAAGTGAATTTGCCTCCACATGGAAGGGAAGACAGTTGCAGCAGTGAGATAATCTAATTTTATTGTTTTAGAGTTTATATATTCATACATAGCACTAAGTACCAGTTAATCAGTTTAATACATAGACTGGTTTGTTGGTTGCACTTTGGACTTCATGTTCAACAAGGACTGATGTCCAAATCAGTTAAAAGCTGTTCTCTTGAATAATATTCTGATTAATAAAAACATTAAAAGTTCTTGATTTAAATAGTCCTTGTTTACAATTTTCTTTATTTAGAGTCCATTTTTGTTGCTTGTGGTTATGTAGAGAAAAGTTAAAATTAAATTGCAATTTTGGTTGAAATATATCTTAGGCAGAACGCGATCATTAATTAGGACACAGCGTGTCTTTTAGCACCTAATCTGCACAGCGATGAAACAAATTAATTTGTTGTTTGTATATGTTTAAAAAAGACATGATCAATTAAACTGGGGGGGAAAATGCATTAAATCGCAATATAAAGAAAAAAAATTGCAATTAGATTATTTTCCAAAATCGTTCAGCCCTAATTCCATTGGCAAAGTGTCTCACATAACTGCTCAATTTAAGAAAAATGCACTTCTTTTAGGAACAAATGACTTGCTTTACATTTTTTGTTGCAATGTTGACAGTTTATTGTCCTCAAAACAGAGCAGCTCATTGTTTATGGGGTGGTGTCCATTCTGCCATGGTCTGTTACTACTTCAGACTGTTGGACCAAAGGAAGAAAAAATGCTGTTTGTTTGCGTGTCTCAGCTGGAGCACCGTGTCCCTGTGGTTTCTGGGGCCCATTCAGCCTCCACAGCTCATGCTGAACTCTGTCTCTATTTTCCTCTAAAGCACGTGTGAATGTTTCCAGTCACAAACGGATAATCTCACAGATTAATTTCAGGTTTTCTGGGCTGTGCTGAAGGTGACTGAGCCAAAAAACAACTCAAAATCATGAAATGAGTCGCGCTGCAAACCAGCATGGATTCCTGCCCCCTTCTAAAGTAGCTGCAACAAACTCTGTTTCCATTGGTTCATGTGGGACAACAGATGATTTAGTTCCTCAATAAATCTTTCTCCTATATTAACCTGTTAAACGTCTACAGGTGGTAGTGAATTTATAAGTGCTTGCTTTTTATAAGGATAGTGCAGATTTTTTTTCCAAACGGTGCACTGGATGTCAGTAGCTGCTTTCTTTCATGAACTCCTTGAACAACAACAGGTTGAAGATTTACAGAGGGAGGGTTTGGAGTGAGATAATAGCAAGTCTAAGCAGAACTAATCTGGCTTTATTTATTCATTTTGTATTTCCGTTAACTACATTTGATTTAAATGTGTTCATAAATGTATATATATAAAAAACTTGACAACAATAAACAGTATTTATTTGCTTTGGAGGTGGGTTATCTATAGTGCGAGCAGTGAGGAAACCATAAATGAAAGGAATAGAAGCTCCATTTCATCACATTTATTTCAACTTAAAATAATCTTCAAACTGTTAAACAGGGCTACTCTAGCCTAAATAAAGATTTTTTTTCTTTTATAAAAAAAAAAAAAAAAAATCCTGCTTAAGATGTTTAAAACAATTGTCCAGCATAAAATAAACAAATTGACTATTTTATTTCCAGAACTTTGTTCAGAAAACGGTCATGTTCTTTTATTCTAGGTCTCTTTAGTGTTCATAAGTCACCTTAAATTTTAACAGCTTCTTTGACCATTTTAGATTCAAAAACAGGAAGTTGTTAAAAAGTGAAAGTGCCTCCAAGTATTGGTTGGACCATTGGACTGGCTCTGCCTCTGGGAGGCCGATACCAAACACTCCGTTTGAGCTCTGGTTCAATAAGCAGCAAAGTTTTCTAAACCAAAAATCAGGGAAACTCTGAGTTATGTTTCTGATGCTGTAGTAACATTCTCCCCCTGCGAGTCACGTTTAATTTCCTGATTTAATCAGCAGATTTCTGTCGTAGTTTTGTGGGAAAAATCAGTTGTTAGCTCTGTTAGACACATTAGGTGTTAGAAATAAAACTATGGTCCGTCTGATTAAAGAATGAACAGAGAATTAAATATAAGGCAGGGGATTCTCAGACCATTTATAAATGTCCTTTATAATCAGAAAGTTATCTTGTTGAGTGCTACCATTTCACCTCACAATCCATCTCGGGCCTCTAGAGCTCATCTGTCCTCATTAGCAGCATTATACAGACTTATTTATCAGGTATATAAATTAAATCCAATTTCAATTCAGTTTATTTATATAGCGCCAATTCACTACACATGTAATCTCAAGGCACTTTACAGTTCACCAGATCATCCAGTTAAATTTATTCTAAGTTTTCTGTCTAAGGAAAACAAATTAATTGCATTGACTCATTGACTCTTCAGCAATCCCTCACACTAAGCATGCTTGTAGCGACAGTGGAGAGGAAAAACTCCCTTTGAACAGGAAGAAACCTCCAGCAGAACCAGGCTCAGTGTGAGCGGCCATCTGCTGAGGCCGACTGGGGTTCAAGGAGACAGAAGCAGAGACACAAAAAGCAGCTGTAAAAGGCGGCCTCGTCCAGGAAACACACAGCCAGGCAGACGAGCTCCAAGGCAGCTTCCATGCCAGAGGACGAAGAGAGCACATCCAGCCAGTCACAGTCAGAGAAACAGGACCACACTGGAAAACAGGCCGATCTCCAGCATCTATAAACAAAGGTGTTGATGGCAGCAGCACAGCTGATATTTCAGTCACAGCCAAACAGGAACAGACCAGATGAAGCTACTATGAGAAAAAGCAGAGAGAGCAGAATGTTAGAGATTGAACTAACAGATTCTGCAGAGTGGGAGAATAGAGATATAATGAAGCAGAATGATGAAATGGGGGTCCCTATGTCCTCCAGCAGTCTAAGCCTATAGCAGCATAACTATAGAGATAGCTCAGGATAACCTGAGCCACTCTAACTAGAAGCTTTATCAAAAAGGAAAGTTTTAAGCCTAGCCTTAAAAGTAGACAGGGTGTCTGCCTCATGGACTAAAACTGGTAGTTGGTTCCAGAGGAGAGGAGCCTGATAACTAAAAGATCTGCCTCCCATTCTACTTTTAGAAAATCTAGGAACCACTAGTAAACCTGCAGATTGAGAGCGAAGTGCTCTGTTAGGAACATAAGGAACAATCAGATCTCTGATATCAGATGGAGCTTGGCCATTTAAGGCTTTATATGTGAGAAGGAGGAATTTAAATTCTATTCTGGATTTAACAGGAAGCCAATGAAGAGAAGCCAGGATAGGAGAGATATGATCTCTCTTTTTAATGTTTATCAGAACTCTGGCTGCAGCATTTTGGATCAGCTGAAGGCTTTTAACTACAGTTTGTGGACTTCCTGATAGTAAAGAATTACAATAGTCCAGCCTTGAAGTAACAAATGCATGGACTAGTTTCTCAGCATCAGCCCTGGACAGGAGATTTCTCATTTTTGCAATATTCCTCAGATGAAAGAAGGAAATTCTAGAAACCGCTTTGATATGGGATTTAAATGACAGGTCCTGATCAAAAATAACACCAAGAGTTTTTACTTTATTATCTGAAATCAGTTTAATCCCATCCAAATGAAGTGACTGGCTAATCAGTTTCTTTTTCAGAGACTCTGGTCCAAAGACTATAACTTCTGTTTTGTCTGCATTCAGAAGCAGAAAGTTAAGAGTCATCCAGGTTTTTATGTCTTCAAGACATGCCTGTAATCTATGTAATGGGTTAGCTTCATCTGGATTTATAGACAGATATAGCTGGGTATCATCAGAATAACAGTGGAAATTAATCCCATGCCATCTAATAAGTTGTTTTATAAGTTGTTAATATCAGTGAGAGCGCATTGATGTGTAATAACAGCATTATAAACAAGGACTGCACAGTCACACAACCCCTTAATTATTGTTTATTAGAAGACAGGATGAAGATGAGGAGGAACCCTATGAGATGATGAACAGGTCCTACCTGTTAGAACGTTTTTATTCTTTATCTTCACCTGCTGCCAGGTGATTTCACCTAAATAGGATACATTGATAAACTATAATTCTACAATTCAAACAGAAAACTATTTTTCCACTGAAGAGTTATCATGATTAGAACAGTCCATGGCAGGATATTTAAATTTTTATTAGTTTATCTGAATAGGTATGCTTGATACCCAATTTTTTTTTTTTTTGTAAAAATAAAGCTTTTAAACAAAACTATATGCACCTTCTAGATGTGTAGAAATGATTACTGGTCTTACTTTTAATTAATTTGATTGTGAAGAAATGTATTTCAGATATAAATATACGTATATTCAGTCAAGCTTATGAATTTCAAAACGGCCACTTAAAATGTGTAAACATTTCTAGGTATATAAAACTGAATTCTTACTAGTATAATTTTTTTTCTTTGGCTTTCTGAAATCCAGTTACTTCTGCAAAACTGTAATCTAGAAAATCTATTATTACAGTTCCGATTAGGCATGTGATTTTGACCATTTTAGTGATCTACAAATCGAGCTACACAGAGAAGCATGCTTTTAATAAATGTAAAAATTGCCTGCCGAAACATGCTTCATATAAACCTACGGTACGCATAAACTTGATCAGCAATCTTATCCTTTACCATCTACCTCTCCTTTGCAGCTGTAGCGCTGTTGCTCGTTCTTTTAAACACATTCTCCATATTTTTCTTTTCCATTTCTGTATCAAACACTGTAGTTCCAATGGGGGGAAATAAGCACTTCCTGCTGCCATGCTGACTCGTCAAATCTTGGCTCCACAGATAATGGTTTAACATACGGTACTTGATATGCACGTGTTCAACTCTAAGTGGACATACTTAGAGTTGATTAAACTAAATCACAGCAGCTTTTATGAAACCAAAAACTCAGTTCCCAGCTTTAGGCTAGATCAATTCAGAGTTGTGGATTTAAGTCTGTTTGTTAAAGCTGCTTCTTAAAGCGGACCTCTGAGCTCATCCTATCCGAACTGGATATGAGTGGTAGCCTATTCTCCCTGCCCTGATCTTTTAGGAGCTTTGCCAGTTGAACAACATCGCTGCTAATCATTCACTCCAGATTATGGAACAACTTGTCCTGCAGGTACTTTCTCCTCAATGTTCGGTGTCACTGAGGGATTTGAACAGCCAGAAAACCATTGAATTTTTTTTTTTAAAAAAAGGTCTTAATTTATTCCAAAAAAAGTGAAAAAAAATGATAAACTGAGCCCAAAAAACAGAGGTCTGCAAAACAGATTTTAATTCATGTACCAACATAAAGAACACAAGCACAAACTGACCTAACAAACAAGACATGAAGGAAACTTAAAAAGTGGCTGATCAGACCACTGTTGACACACAAGGGGGGTAACGGACTAACTAACAAACATACTTAATTAAACAGATAAATACTAGCCAGACACAAACTACTTTTTAAATTTAACAAATTAACAAAATGACCAAAACTAAGAATATTTAAACAAATGATAAACAAATTTCCCTTCCCATTAAAAATGGTGTGACCGGCTGATTAGCCTGCAACCACCAATTGTGAAAAGCTGGAGCTCATTGCAGCCCTCCATCAGCAGATCCAAAGGAAAATGGCAGCTCAAAGGAAAAAAAAATTAATCCACTGCATCTGTGAACAAAAACAAAACTGATAAAGTAAACTAAATGTGTGCACTGCAAAAAGTTAACTTAACGTCAGGCTAATGAAAATATATGAAATGCGCAACTCATTTTGAAAATGAAAAATGTAAAAGTTACCACAGAGCTTCAGAGTGGCTGTCACGGTCACTAATAACCAGTTTGAGATATAATGACCTGTATGAGTCTGTACTGTAGATAAATGATTTTGCCTTAAAGGTAAAATTGTGCCTTTTTTGAAAAAAATTTAAACCATTTTCAAAGCCCTTTCATGTACTTTCTTCTTTTTTTTGCTTTCCTTTTCG